GTCATAAATGAGATCATTTCTAGCTCATTTTTATACCATTAATTGCCCATCAACTGATCATTCTTATGCCATACCATTAACTGGCCATTAATGGCTCGTTAATGTCTCATTTTCATTCACCTGGGTTATGTTAAGAAGTGCATTTGAGAACATGTCTATTTGAGTTGTTGATCGACTCACCTGCTGTTGTGAGTTGCGAACTAATTTTTTTGCCTGATTTGCGTTTCTACGAGAGCAATCAAGAAAAGCTTTCTAGGAGAAACTTGATAGCATATGGTCTCAGAGATTCGTAGCAGCCTTCGTCAAACCTTTCAAAATTTTAAAAAGATTCGAATTTATCAGAACCAATGATTTTTACTTTTAACAGTATTAGCTTCAGAATGAAGCAGAAAATGTATACAGTCTTTTTCGCCTGTTTACTGTATTATCGAACACTCGAGTGATGACTCTAAGAGCAAGACGCTGAACAGACTCGAGTGGCTCAATGGAGAGGTGGTAAAACTCAAGTGCTATACAGCACAGTAGTAGTCAGTTTTCGGTAATACACATGTTTTTTATAATTGAAAATGAATACGCTGCGTTGCGTCACGAAATACTCGATTGATAGTCTCTAGTATTCTTCGACAAGCTATCGCTGTTTCTCTTATGTGAAGTGACTACCTAAGATTACTTGAAAGAGTGACTCGGAGTATTTTTGGATGTTGATTGAGCGTTAAGATTTGAATTGTTCATGTGCAGTGATATGCTTGGAGCATAACTATGATCTTTTAGAGAGAAATAGATCCATAAACATTTATTGGCATTTAATGACATGGAATTCTTCTCGCACCATTTTAAAATCTGATTAATCTCTTTTTGAATTCTCAATTCAATGAGAGTAGCTAGTTCATTTCTACCGAATTGAATGTGCACGAATAGATCATCAGTGAATAAATTGCGTAAACTGCTGAATTAGGTGCTACTTGAATTATGTCATTAATAACGACAAGGAAGCCCAGTACGAAGCTTTGTACAACCCCTGCGGGCAGTTTAGACTTCGAGACCGACTCTCCTTCCAGATGTGCCAATTGAAACCTATCAGACAGATATGATGAAAACCAATCAAAATGTTTGTCACCGATACCAATTAACGGTAATTAATGAAGAAGTACTTAACGTGGTACTTTATCAAATGTTTCTGAAAGATCAAAACTGAGTCATAAACAATGCTGAAAGTCATTAATAGCTTTGTAGATAAAGTAAGTAGCACGTAGTGCGTCTTCGAACTCAACGACAAGTCAAGGATTTTTATTTACCATTTTTTACAGCACTTTTAAGTAGAATAAAAAATCTAACTGATAAGAACATTCTTTGACACTGATAAGAACTTTCTTTAAGAACGTTTTTTAACACAACGCTAATGTGAAATAGAAGGCAAATATTCGATTCTTTCAAAGCCAGTGTTTTATTGATTATGTGTAGCAAAGAATGACTTTCGTTTGTTTTTCTTCATACTTGTGGTGTTTAATCCCACTGTTTCTTGTGAAAATGATGTGCTGCACAGTAGATAGAACCGTCGAAAAAACTTTTTATTTTGTGTAGTTATATAAGAGTTTCTACCAATTGCACACAGAAAGCAGAAAAAAATCATTCATTCCTGATAATATCTTCTTGCAAACATAAGTTTGATATTACGTTTGAGCGAAAATCGTTTAGGTATGTTGAACCTTGGGACAAGACGGCTTTGAGAGTGACTATTTTCTCTGTCTCTACTATCTACATAAATCTCAGGATACAATTAATGTTATCCGCTAAAAGTGACTATAAACACGAAGAAATCGAAGCGACACATATTTTTCATAGGTGTTCTAGAAGCTCTTTTGGAAAATATTACGGTTTTGTAAGATTTCTTTCAAGAACTCCTATAAATAGCAAATAGAACAGCTTAATTACTCGATATTCTGAAGTTTTGAAGTCGTTCTGATGTTTTATTTTTTATTTATCTCAGGATGGTCGATTACCCACCGGATACTAGTCCTAGGACTCCCTTTTTTATAGACGTTTTTAGAAATATTTCTTTTATTTGAGTTGCATATTGAGCATTATAGAGTAAAGTGTCTTCTACAAAATAAGACAGCTCCCAGCTCTCCAAGGCCTTCCGTTGAGGAGATGCGATTTTTTCAAAGTTCGTTAATTGCTGGAGGCCTTTGAAAAAGTCACATTTGTGCTATAGCGTCCAAAATGATCATAAATCTTTCACAGAACATGCTGAAGAGCTGGGAGACATCTCGTTTTGTTGAGAAATCTTTACTCTACAAGACTGACTGTTTCAAAAGTTTATCAAGTACTGAATAAAAGAGAAAAAGTTTCGAAAGTAAAAAACTAGGGTTTTTTCAGCGTAAATGGTACAAAGTTCATCTCTATGCGAAATCGAACACTGATAATAATACTGATGGATATGTACAAATCAAAGTTGACGGTAAAGCAGTGATTAATCAGAGTATTCGTTGGACAATAAATAATAATAAGCGATTTATCAATAGATTATTTTTTTCTATGCAAGTTCAGTTGCTTACCTCTTTTATTAGAAATAACATTGCTCTTTTATATTACAGATTTCGTCGACGAAGTTCCGATGAATGAAAATGTAGCACTGATGGCTTTGTTTACTCTGACAATTTGCATTTTCGACAAATTAGTAAATAAACAAAGCATTTACCAATAAATTCAGGAGAAGAAGGACAGATCGCGAAATAGTTGTAGGTAATGGATTCTTGATCAGGTGAAAAAGTTCGAACATTAATTGTTTTAGAATATATTTTATTGTGTTATCAAGTAAAAAATTATGCAGAAAAACTTTGAAAGACTGATACAGGAATGAAAAGATGTTATTCAGCCAGCAAGTATTGTTCCACATGCTATACGAGGACCAGCATTTCTACAAATTTGATGAAGATATCAATAAAGAATGATGACAATGCATAGTCTAAAAACACTTACCCAGTCGTATTACTTTTGCCCTTGCCGGTGTGACATCCGTCATCAGTTAAATTGTGGATCATCAGAGGCAAACCGATAACATTTCTTGTTTTATCGAATCCAAGTGAAATGACATTATCACGTGCTGCAACATAGGCTCTGCCATCAGCATTTACCTCAATATTGCCTAGATCACCGACGTGCCGTTGCGGATCTCGGGGCATTCCATGAGATACATCTATCATAATAAATAAAGTGTAATGATCATCGCTCGATTGCACAGAACGGAACTTACTGTAAGGATTGAAATGGGCACCACCAGCGCTACAATTATAATTATCGCCGATCGGTTCCGAATGGATATGGAAACCCTAATAAAAATTTAGTTCATTGAGAGTTTTTCCTACAGAAGTGAAATGAATCTAGAAATCTGTCTAAAAATCTCAGAACGTATTCGGATAGTTCTCAAATATAATCCAAAAACTCATGTAAGACACTGGTAGACTTGAAGATTTCAAATTTGAAAATGTGGATAAATTCCAAGTTTCTTAATGAGTTTCGATCGGTTGAGGCTTTTTTCTTCAAAACATAGACAAAGTAAAGTGTAATAAAAGACGTACCAATGTTGCCATAGGTCTTAGATTATTCACAGAACCGGATATGATCACACCCCAAGCTACTTCCTGCTCGTTAAAGTTGATTGTTCCAATGAAAGTATTGGTTCCTGAGACAAACATTTCGGCGTGAGCATGCACCCCATCAGCTCCGCTCACAAGTACGACAAAGAGTATCACAAAAGTAAGAACAAGTTTCATCTTTAGTTATTTGCAAGTGTATAAAATTGTTGTATAATTGTGTATGAGCCAGAAGAAGACAAGGGGACGATGATTTCACAAAAAAATCTTATCTCAAGTCTCATACAGAACAGAAAAAAAAATCATGAGTTCATCTTCACTGCAGCGTCATTTTGTTTTACATCATGATTATATGAAATAAAAGTGCCAGTAATAGGACCTGTTTAGGCATATAGAACACTAACGGCGAAATCCACATTTCGTGGACTTTTTCCAGCAAAAAGTGTGTTTTTACATTACACAGAACTACACTATTCACGCCCCGATTTTAGTTGCGTTGGTCTTGCATTAAAATTCATATTTTGATGTACGACTGCTGAAAAAAGTAGTCATGCCAAATGAGTAGTTGCGGAGAAAATGGTTTGATAAGTTCGGCTTTTTGTGATAGTATTTTTTCAATTTTTCGATCATCTCTGCTTCATAATCACTATATTCGTAGGCAACATTGAATGTTGCCGAAACAAACTACGTTCAAACAGTCATACATCAAAGTATAAACTTATGTTTAAAAACCATTGCGAACTAGAATCGAAACCAGAGATGGGCCGCTCCGACCATTTCTCGCCGTCATTACGAAGCGCTCCGCTTCGGCTCCGCTCCTACGGCAACATTCAATGTTGGCATGACTACTTTTTTCAGCAGTCGTACATCAAAATATGAATTTTAATGCAAGACCAACGCAACTAAAATCGGGGCGTGAATAGTGTAGTTCTGTGTAATGTAAAAACACACTTTTTGCTGGAAAAAGTCCACGAAATGTGAATTTCGCCGTTAGTGTTCTATATGCCTAAACAGGTCCTATTACTGGCACTTTTATTTCATATAATCATGATGTAAAACAAAATGACGCTGCAGTGAAGATGAACTCATGATTTTTTTGAGCATTGAGCAACAGATTTGGAATCGTCAGTTGGTTTAAAACTAGCTTTAGAACTAAAAAACCCATGATCGTTAAGTTTGAGACGGTTCATTACAATGCAGCAGAAAACTTGATTTAACCAAATTTAAATCTTGCACACAAGAATAATTTTCCTGGACCCATGTTATAAGACCGATGTACACGTATTTCGGGCGATAAATATTGAACATTATTGACTGTGATTACTTTAGCCAGCACAAATTACTTAGCCAACAATTATAAATATCCGGACAAAGTCGGGTTTTGTGAAAACCCACTTTCCCCGATTTTTAGCTAAAATTCGTTCGGAAAATCACTGAAACGCACGCAGTTCAAGTCTGTTTTTCACTGTGATAACAAATATCAACTGAATTTTGTCTCGGGACAAATATAAAGAGACTAAATCGCAAAATATTCATATTTTTTTGAAAAGCCACCTTCGTCCAGTCTAACTTATTTGCAGTTTTTCCCTATTAGGCGAAAGTTTTTTCCAAAAACTTTTGTACCCGGTTTGTTCATGATTGCTGGGACTACAAAGTGTGCTTACTCTGATTCGATTCCAGGGCTATTAAGACACATTTCGTGAGCGAATCACACGCATCCTGCCTAAAAGCAGTCACCAGCAAAAAATTAACCTATGGTTTTTATTTTATATTCGGATTCTACAATCAAATCTGAGATTATGAAAAAAATGTTTGCCTCTTCTACTTATTTTGACGGAGTTATAGAATTTACGAAATGAGGCTCATCGGAAAAGTTCGAAAACTCTATCCTCAATATTTTGTCTATAACTCTGTTAGTATTTGTTCGTTTTGTTTGAGCAATATTTCATTTGAAAGCCCATCCAGAACTGAACCAAAGGACACATTTTTTGATTTTTTAGCGTTGAAACGGAATAGTTTCTAGAACAAACCAGGAAAAAAGCATGGTTTCTAAAACTGAAGCTTTTCGAATCGAACCAATTTTTCGGCACGTAAAAAGCATTTCTCAGAAAATGCGATCATGCTATCGGATATTCAATTCTCTATAAATTAGGTGTAAAAAGTTTTTTTCAGAAGTAGTGCAAAAGGTCAAAAAATGTGTTACAACCAGGCGCACCATAACAATTACCTTATTTAAAAAATATACTTTTTGACAGAAAAAAAGAACTGATTCATAGCAAATGAAGTATGATGATTACAGTGCAATTAATTTTATGTCACAGTTTGCAAGTTCCGTGACATTCTAGCGAGGAATCGTGCATTCAGGTTGGACTTCCCTTACTCCTCATTTCACATTCCGATTCTAAAGAAAATTTTTTGTTCTTTTTTATCCTTGCTTTTATGACGAAGAATAACCTTCTAAGTTTTGTTTCATGCATCAGATATATGCTTGCTTCATAAAAAGCATAACATGCATTCTTTTTACTACGTTATCATAAGCGTCATAAATTTTTCTGCATGTTCTTTAACAAAACATAACAAAGGAAAATATTATCTTATCTGGTGCTTTGTTCAGATACTCTCTCTCTCTCTTTCTCTCTCTTACTATATTCAAAAAATAAAACTCATTTTTAATGATATCATTGCATTTGAAAAGGATTAATTTTTATTACAGTAGGAGGATTTATTTTGTCGTTCACACGGCATCCGGTCCATTACACTGTGTGTACAAAAGGCATGTTATACCACTGGAGAGCAGCGAAGCATCGATATGCTTGGGTCGATTACATCATTTTGCAGTAAAAGCATCGCTCTTTCCCGACAGTCGAGCAAAGGCAGAAGCAGTATTACAACGATGTGACATAACAATAACAGCAGCATTAAATTATGAAAATCTCTATGTCTGCCACTCTCACTGGCGAAGTAGCAAAAGGTCGACAGAAAAATATCGACAGACAAATGTCGAAAAGCATAGTGTCGACAAAAGAAAAATGTCGACCGTGCAAAATGTCGAAAGAGCAGAATGTCGAAAAACAAAATGTCGACAATTGAAAAAAATAACTAAATTGAACTGTGATCAAATTATATTTATTATTGACTAAGTTAAAATCTAATACACGTGAGTAAGAAGTATAACATACATGAACAGTGTGAGAGTGAGTTCGAAAAGTAGTTTCACATACAAGATATTTGCATCAAATAGTGTGAATTTGCCTCAGCTTTTGAGGCACTTATCTGGAATGTCAGTATTTCAAGTTGAAGGTATTTTAAAATTTTTTTATAATCTTTGCGTCAAAATTTTGCGTGTCGACATTTTTTCTGTCGACATTTTCATTGTCGACATTTTGCGAAGTCGACATTTGTACTTGTCGGCATCTCTCTTGATTGCTCATCTACACAATATTGTGGTCCACATGTGGATCTACATGACGTCCGGCATCGCATTGCATTCACTTGTTGGTCCAATTATATTTGGTTCTGCTTCCTTTCTATACCTTAGCCCGATCGATTCAATATTCTCCAAATATCTGGATCGACCGTCTATATACTTTCATCTCCATATCGAACCGTATAGGGGTCAATATATTAAAGAGTTCTTAGAGGCAAATATCTTTTCCAGCTCTGAAATGAAACGTGCCCATATTCAAATGATTTTGAAAAAAAATCGCAGCTCTTGTTTGCTCGAACTCTTACCATCTGTTATAGTCCAACGACAAAAGTTCGTCGAAGAAAAAATGGATGAAGGACGGAACTCACACGAATATGCTATCGTTCGGAAATACTTTAACTTCGTTTAATATGCTTATTGGTTCTTTTTTCTTCTCATACTACAGCACCTGTACAAGTCTTTCTTATCCGTTAACGAATCCAATAGGATATGTGCTTCATCATTCGAAACCTAACTGTTAATTTTAGTAAGAAATGCTTTTAGGGTTTATGTCTGTGCGATAAACCCTTCGAAGGTTTATAGAAATTTTTTGATAGTGCTAGAGTAGATTATTTGACTGATTTTTTTGTTCAGTGCGGTGAACACTCTTCGATGCCACAATCACCTACGTCCATCGGAATCTTGACCAGAGCGATGACTGGTCTCGAAGAGCATAAGCACCAATGCCAGTTAGATCAAGGCCCATAACTGAGTTTTTTGCATTTTTGTCTTCACTTTGTATCTCATGATTATGAAGAGATATGAGAACGCTTCATTGACCAACAACTCAGACCAGTGTTCACAACTTCTTACTCAGACTGTACGCAATGAGCGATTTTACCTAACGGGGAACTGTCGTCGTTGATAGCGCAGAGTTTTCCTATGGATCGATAGAGAAAGTGTCAATTTTTGTTTTTATTGAAGGTCATAGATCAGAGTATGTGATGTACATGTTGTGAGAAAAATGATGACAATAATGTCTTAACTTTCCCGAAAAAGTGCACTGTTTGATGAATATTTCAGCAACGTGTCTTTCTGATACGTAAATACACTCGAAGCAACGGCAAAATGAAGTCAAGATAAGGAAGAAAGATTTTTTTATTCTTTCGTCTTAATTTTTTGAAAAGAAAATCTTTGTCGTTCGCTATCCGTCAGAATGCAATAAACTACGCGTGATAAAGTAAGACATTAATGGAGAGAAGAAATCGTACCTGACAATGAAAGGATTTGCACTGTTGAGCGAAATGATTGACGCTGATGTTCTCAAATGATCACTCTCACTGAGAAACTAACAAATTTAAAATATGAGCTGCTGCTGGCGTACCTGGAAAGAGATATTCGAATTTCAAGGCATTTATAATATATGTAATGTGTCCATAACTGAAAATTTTAGCCAAATGTTTTTCGTTTTCACCCGTATGGTTGGATAGAGGTCGTCGAGTCGTATAATAAAAGCTATGTTTCAAATTTTAGAAAACTATTTTTACGAATGTCAGAATTTTGGGTCGATTTCTCTTGTTACGGAGAATAA